CATCCTTGACCAGATTTTGAAACAAATTGTCATGGACATGCATCCTAACCTGTATAAAGTACATGTATGTGTCAAATTTGAATGAAAACTGACAGAGCACGTCCAAGATACCGCATAAAAAAACAAAAACAGGATGCCTGCCAGTCGACCATCTTTGATCCAATTGCAAAATAAATCGTCATGGACATGTATCCTAACATGCATAATCTATGTACCAAGTTTGAATGACAACTGACAAAGCATGTCCAAAATACAACATTTTCAAAAAACTAGATGGCTGCCAGTCGGCCATTTTGAATCGAATCGCTAAACCACTGCATGTGCATATGTCTCACATAAGGTACTTGGCACATGCAAAGAATGAACGGAATTGGTGCACAGGATTCTGAAATATGACATTGGATAGACTGAAGCACGGACAGACGGACACACGGACGGTCGGACGGACAGACTCAGGAACTCACAGACGGTCAGGGACATGTATCCTAACATGTACTGTATGATCTATGTACTAAATTTGAATGAAAACTGACAAAGCATGTCCAAAATACGACATTTTCAAAAAACAAGATGGCTGCCAGTCGGCCATCTTTGATCCAATTGTGAAATAAATCATCATGGACATGTATCCTAACATGTATAATCTATGTACCAAGTTTGAATGAAAACTGACAAAGCATGTCCAAAATACAACATTTTCAAAAAACAAGATGGCTGCCAGTCGGCCATTTTGAATCGAATCGCTAAACCACTGCATGTGCATATGTCCCACATAAAGTACTAGGCACATGCAAAGAATGAAAGAAATCGGTCCAAGGGATTCTGAGATCTGACTCCGGACGAACGGAGATCGAATTATAAGTCCCCGTTTTCGGACTTTGTCCGAACGGGACTAATATATATTAAAGCAGAAACGGTAGTTCTCTAATATGTCGTGGCCCTAAAAAGGACCGGCCGTTTGGTTTGTGCTTCCTTAGAAACAATTCAAGCCAATCGTATAAGCAGAGCCGAGAAGCAAGTGTCGCACTCGTTCGGCTTTAGCGTCGTCGACAATGAAACCAATGTTGCAATATTGTAGCAATCCGTACCTGGGAGAGTGGTTGAAATCACGTTATTTTGGCTCTATAAAATATTTGGTAATAACTGGGGCCAGCAATTTTGCGACAATTTTGCAATATCACGCCGAAGACTGCCTTTTTTACCATCTTTCATCACCGATATTGCATTTCTGTCATGAAAACTATTCTTCTGTCTATTTCAAGTCCACCCCACGATATCCATATAGTGAGACAACCGATAAGCGTCGAGTCTAATATAAAAGCAATGTCACGATTTGACCTTTATGGTGAAATAGTAGTAGTTTTGTCATTCTTATCCAATCAGTAAAGCAGATGCATAAAGGTCAAAGATGATTGCCAGACTGTAAA